ATGTTACGGCATTTTGGAGATTGATAGAAATACCGTCTTTAATCTAGAAAAATGTAGATTAGTAGGTCGTTATTTATCTTCTCAGTAGCGAAATTGTAAACGCTATACTACTACTTTTGTTGGGTGAATTTTTTTATTTATTTAAGATTCTGGTTCTCGTTAGATATTTTCGGTTTAGACTATTTTTTTTAGGGTGTTACACTTATCTATCTCTAAACTGTGCTTACAAGACTAAGTCTAAGTCTTAAAGACTTATCTTCAGATCTTTGAATTGTGCTTACAAGACTAAGTCTAAGTGTTTAAGACTTATCTTCAAAGTCTAAAGACCTTGAATATAGAGCTCAGATACAGAGCCTCTGGGTGAAGAAAATGTATAAGACTAAGTATAAGTCTTATAGACTTATCAATCTCTAAAATATGCTTACAAGACTAAGTCTAAATCTTAAAGACTTATCTTTAGATCTTTGAACTGTGCTTACAAGACTAAGTCAAGTCTTTAAAACTTATCTTCAAAGTCTGAAGACCTTGAGTTCAGAGCTCGGATACATAGCTCTGACACAGAGCCTCTGGTTCGTTCAACCAGAGCCTCTGGTTCGTCTATCCAAAGCCTTTGGGTCAAGAAAATGTACAAGACTAAGTATAAGTATTATAGACTTATATATCTCTGAACTATGCTTACAAGACTAAGTCTAAATCTTAAAGACTTATCTTCAAATCTTTAAACTGTGCTTACAAGACTAAGTCTTAGTCTTTAAGACTTATTTTCAAAGTCTGAAGACTTTGAGTTCAGAGTTCAGATACAAAGCTCAGAAACAGAGCAAGACCAACCAGAAGCTCATCTGGTCCTTAAGGACCAAAGCCCCTCTGGACTCACCAACCAAAAGCTTGCATCATATAATCAAAATACTCCGCGGTAGAGCTCGGGCACAGAGCTTGAATATAAAGCTCGAGCACATAGCTCAGACACAGAGCTCAGATGTAGAGCTCGAACTTGAATTTAGAAATGAATCTATATCAATACTTAGTTAAAATGAAGTTAACCATAAAATAAATTTTAATTTAGAAATGAAACTATATCAGTAAATTGAATTTAAACTTAGAAGTAAATCCTTTTTTTTTCTTCAGAAATCAGTTACCACACGAATTAATTAACTCAAGAATAAAGTAAATTAATTGCATCCCAAATTAGTGGGATTGATTGAATAAGATGACACATTTCAATCAAATGAGTCTAATTGAACTGTTAATGTAAATTGTGTCTAGATACGTGTTTAGGCGGGAAAACACTAAAATGTGCTCACCATAAGTTAACACGTGTCACACCAGTTACTTATTTATTATAAGTATATATATAACAGGTACGGGGTGGGGCAGGGAGTACGATACCTGTCCCCATCCCCAGTTTGAGACAAACGGGGATCTCCATCCCCGCCCCCATCCCCGATTTAACGAGGAATCTCCATCTCCGACCAGGACGAATGGATCGGGTTCCCCAACGGGTCGGAGCCTATTCCCATGCCTACAGGCCTCTTTGACCTAATGACCTTACCAATCATGATGTGGCCTAGATAAACATCAACTAATATCCAATGTCATGTTTAAAATTAAGAAAATAAATCTAAAAAAATTACAATGACATCAATAATTATGACATATCATGTATTTTTTATATTTAAGAATTAAACTTTCACATAGCATAAAAAAATTGCTATTTCATTTTTACATGATTAGAATTGAATAAAAAATTAAGGCACGTTTGAGATTGCTTATTTAAAATAATTTATATTTTTTTTATAAAAACGTTTATTAACTTATTATAAGTCAGAAAGATTTAGCTTCTTCAAAAATTCTTTATTATCGGTTTGATACCGATATAAATTATTTATTCAAACACTCAAAAATACTTGTTATTTATCCAACACCAAAATAAATTAATAAATTATTTTTATAAACAATACCGGAATATGTGAGACTGATTCATCAATATTCATGTTTTAACTTGGGTAAAAGAATTGAGGTTCACAGTCGACACTCGACACCAACATCCTCCACAACCAGTATTGAACGGTTCGCCATCCTCCACAACCGGTAAAACTCAATTTTGCTGAAACTCCCTCCCTCTTTTCCCCTGTCACACGAACAAAGAAGAGGGAACTCAGATGAACTTGATTTCTCTGTGTGTGCAGTAGTAGACTCAAGTTTTGTGTGTGTCTGCAACCCCTAACTCGTTTATTTCTTCAATTTCACGATGAAAATCATATTTTGATTTGGAGAAAATAAGCTTCCAATGGGAGGGTTTCCGATGATTCTAGGGTTGATTTTTGTTAAGGGGTTTCACTCTAAGATGATTGGAGAAGTTGATTTGATTAACCGTTTTTTATTAGCTTTGATTTTGAGCATTTGATTTTTGAGTTTGGGTTTTTTGATTTTCAGTTAAGGGTTTGATTCTTATCGATGAAAAAAATAATCAAACCCTTAAATGAAAAGTTTAGTCGACTTTAAAAGTTGGTCCCGACGTGCTATTTTCAAGAAAATGAGGTAACCCTGCTAGGTTTTATTCATTGAAGCACCTGTTTGATGAATCTTACACATACTGTTCTACTCTGCTTTGCTCATGTTTCATAGTCAATAACACAAGGTTTGAATCATCCCTTCAGAATGTCCAGTAATTTCTAGGGATTTCATGATTTACGAATTTCCGTCTCATAACCGTTATACAATTGTTGTATTTGATACCTTTCAGATTATTAGAAGCCGCCTGCAAGCGTATTTCTTTGTAATTCCTACAGATAGAGATGGGGGAGCAGTCATTTTTCGATAAAATGATGATTAATCTTCGTTCCACCTGCAAGTATGTGTTCAAATGCGTGTTAAACGTCTCAATGGTTTTGTTACATTAATTTTTATCATTGTTGTTGGATATGTAGATAAATTTATTGTTGATTTTGCCTTAGAGAAGTACTAGGGTTGACATAAGTGTTCAGATTGTAGCTCTTTTTGGGGAAACAAGGCGATGTTCTATCCTCTTTTCGCATTGATAATTCACCTAAAAATTTGATATTTAGAAAAAATTAATACATACTACTACAATTATGAGGTTTGTATTGCTGAGATTATTAATAAGTTTCTACAGTTTTCAATATGAAAGACTGTTTGTTGGATCTCAGGAAATGGGAGCGTATCTCGTTATTCGGAACCAAGAAGAGGATTTACTTCTTGGATTGTGTCCCATACTGTCATCGATCTATATTTTTTGTCGGTTGATGGGAATAACTTTGCAAGAAATAACATTCAGACATCACGTAGGAGAATCGTTTCCAACTCATTAGCATCCTAGACATAGCTTTACCCAGACATTGTCTTCTCTTTCATTTTTTGTATAAAAGATCTTAGTGTGCCAAGCTTTTTTGATTTGGGACAGAGTAAGGCAAAATATTACGATTCCTCATCCCTAGGCTTGGCATAAGTAGTCTCTGCACTTAACTTGTATCAAGATAAAATACCATTCGTCAAATTGGAGTGTACTTATGGCCTATGGGGAGCCTTGCCTCAAGAGAAAACATTCATGATACCTGAAGATAATGCCATTTGCATTTGTTTCCTCAACATTGTAGGTCCCACCAGAGGATTATTGCTTATGATTCATACCATATTGGATGAGCAAAATTTGCAAAGGGTTATGTGTGTCCGTGTTGGTGTTCCTACCTTTGTTATGTTTTCGTGCACCTGATCTATTTGTATGTATGTTTCAATGTTGTTGCTTCATTCTAACCTGCTTTTCAAATTTAGAACCACCTTTCTTGTTTTCAAGTTCTTCTTTATCATATATTGTATTATTACTTCTCGCACACTTTGCGCAAACCGGAGGTGTTCATAGAAACAACAACTCTACTCTTTTGGGTAGAGGTCAGGTCTACGTACATCCCCCCTCCGGGTGGGATATACAGGGTTTGTTTTGTTTGGTTTCTTGTGTGTATTGGGGTGGGGAAGGTTCAAATCCGAAGGAAGATCCCCTTACCTGAAGATAATATCGGTAATTCATGCGATCTTATGTCTGAAGCTGATGAATCAGACTCTACGTTTTAGCCTTTGTAGCTGCCTAACCTAGTCTGATAAGCGTTTCTAATGGCCCAAGTAGATCTAATGATCTACTGTGTTTAGATAGATGAGGAAGAAATAGGGTAGTTAGACACTGGTTCTGTGCCCAACCATGGCTAGCCTGTTTCCATCAGCCAAGGGTTCATGGCTTCATGCACCCATGATTGAGAAATTCATGAGTAAAACAGTTTTCATGTCCAAAGTTGGTTCTTTTCCAACAAAAATATAAAATTTATAAAGGGAACTCTTTAATGTACTGTTGCCATAGAAATATAGAATGTGTTCATTGCTCACTGCTACTAGTTTAAGTTCATAAGATTATCTTTATACATAATCTTAAGGACCACTATGTGATAATAATCTCTACTCCTTGAAAAAGTTATTTGTTGCAAGTCTCTCATTTTGTATCACATTGCCATTATTATCTTAAAAGGTATTATACTGGACATCCAAAGGATCTTGGGCCATCAAAGGTTATCCATTTTACTTCAGAGCGTGAATTCGTTCATCTTCTACATCAAGGTCACCCGGTGGTTGTTGCGTTCACCATCAAGTAATCTAAGATTCTTTCATACCTTATGTATCCCATCCGGTTATCTTGCATATGTTGTTTGTAAAGAATGCTCGGTTTTATTGGCTTCTTTTTGTTGCAGGAGTAATTATACTAAACATCTTGACAAAGTGTTGGAGGAAGCTGCTGCTGAGTTTTATCCACAAATTAAATTTATGCGCGTAAGTTGGTTCTTCTAGGATTGTCAATTAAAGCAGTATCATTTTTTCTAGATATCATATATTGGGAAAAAGTTAATAGAACTTTGAAACACAATTGTCAAACCACATCCCTAATCACTTGCTCCTAAATTCCATCCAATCTGTGCTAGAGTATAATCAAGGAGTAGCATCTATAGGGAAAAACTGTTTTAATGCTTAATTTGATTGTTTCTATCACACCTATTTTTTAATAAAAAATGCATTTATTCTAGGCCAATGAAATGGTACTTAGTTTTTGAATTTTCCAAGCAGTCTTTGGACCAGTTCTCATGATTTTATATTTTTTCTTGATGGTGTATTTCAGGTTGAGTGTCCAAAATATATTGGATTCTGTATGACACGGCAAAAGAAGGATTATCCATTTATAGAAATGTTCCATAGCCCACAAGAAGTAAGTTCTATTTTGGTCATTGATCTTTATCTTAATCCTGTATAATGCAGGCCTAAATCCTGTATCTATTCCTAAAATGCTAGCTTCTTAACAGAGCTAAAATAGACCATTTTAGAGCAATGTACAACTTGGGCGCATGCGATACATTCACTCTAGCAGTTGTTCTCTGGTTTTTGGGAATTGTTGCTTGAAAAAAGGATTTACCTTTGGATCATGGTGTCTTCATGTCAGCTTAAAGATGTCTTTGTCCTACGCCTGTGGCTATTGACTTTGGTACATTTATAAAGTGACATTAGATCTCTGTCAGCCTTTCATCTCTTTTAAAATAAACATTTGTGATAAGAAAAACTAAATTTACCTTGTTGACATCAAGTTTTGTGTAAGATGTAATGTCTGAAGCCCAAAGCCACAAAACTGACCTGAATAATCCGATTCAACTTAACTATACCGAGATGTTATTGGAAGCCCACTACCAAGGGTGTATGGACCCATATTTCACATGTGTAACCGACACAGAACATTTTATTTCCTCCGTCCTAAAAATGTCGACGATAAAAAAACACTTAGTTTAAGAAATGTGTAATTATTACCCTTTTTAATGAACTGAATGACAATTTTACCCTTAATGATAGAGGCAAAACCTCTCTCTCTCTCTTCATATCATCACTCTTAAATATTCTGCGTCATTTAAAATGGATGCTTATTTTGGGGCTAAATAGAAATGTGGGCACTTATTTTGGGTCAGAGGGAGTAGTACTCCTTATCAGGCTTGAATGTAAACTCAAACAACATCCTAGAATCATATGGGGCAAGAGGTTACATAAGATGTGGGTCAAGTTCACCTTTATCAGTGACGTTTATAATTTGGTGCAGGCATCAAATCAAGGAAGGGCTGTTGATCCGAATGTTACAAAGTACGCCGTGAAAGTTTTACCTGTGAGTTCCTCGAACTTCTTTAATTTATCTCCATATGAAGAGCATTAGAAGCATTTCATATCAAACACTGATGTTCTCTGGTTTCTCTCATTTGGAGATACATCATACCAATAAAGTAAAAATAAAAATAAACATAAAAATTAAGAAACTGAATGCTTTGTTATGCCAATGCTTGATAGTGGATGATTGAGGGTGTGGTTCCATCCTTTCACATCCTTTCATGGCTTTCTAGTGGAATTAGAGGTCTAAATTGCATTAATACTAATATCGGTATGATCACTGCTTATCATTAGGGAAAACCTGAAATCTTGAAAAATCCTAAGATTGTGGTCTTTTGTTGATAGGTATTAGAAAAAAAAGAAGTCTTGAATAAGGTTTCAGTTTGTTGGTTAATATCTACAAATATATAGGATATTCTTGTGAAACTTTACAAGAGAATCTTGGGAATTCACTACAGTAAGCAGGGTATAGGGTATTTCTGTGAAATCTTTCAAAATTACTAAAAAAATTCTTATTAACCTACTTTCTTTTCTTATAGATGCTATATTAAGAGAATGTTTGAATGTAACTTTAAAAAGCACTAGTAAAATAACCACAAGGGTGGTGCCTGATTGGTTTGAGCTTGGCCCAAAGGTCAAAAGTACCTGGAGGTCCCAGGTTCAAATCCAAGGAGGAATAAAAATCCCCTTGTGGTCACGGAGGTTCAAATGCGGTGACTCCGGGCTATCTGCTAAGCAGGTGGTCGCCCTGAGATTAGTCGGCTCGCACAGCGGGTTGGATATCCAGGTTAATAAAAAAAAAGAGCACTAGTAAAATTTAATTCAGTATTTATTATTTAATTTCTTCCTCAAATGTGTGTATACAAAATTGCCAAGTGATTAATGTTTCTATACCACTTATAGTAATATGCAATTCACTTAAATTGACAGGCATTCAAACTTTATGAACTACTTGTTAGTTTGAACACCAATCATTAAAAAAATATTGTTATCTGTTCATAGTCATGTTCAATATGGAGATGAAATAGATTGTTGTCAGTACTAAATACAAAGGTAAATTGGTACACTTTTGATCTTTGAGAAAGGTAAGGATGTAGCTTCTCAATGTCTTCATCTGTTTGTTAATTTGGCATTGATTTTCTGAAATCGATTGCATCTAAGTTGTTTGTACAATCAAACAAGGAACGTTTGGCTTGATTATTTATGCACACACCTTTCTAGACTCATTTTCAAAATATGGACTTCTTTTTGTAACCATGGATGTCTTGGTTAACCTAATGAGCCCTGAAGATACCAGTTACGAAAATTCCCCATGGCCATGAGGAGACTCAAACTGGCGAGCTATGCGGAGGAGTCCCAAGGCCTGACTTATTTTTGTCGGTTGAGCTGTCCCTCAAGGTTTCGACATATGGACTTGCTATTATCACCTTCGATTGCATAATCCCTTACCCTACTCCATGTGGGATTTACTGTTTTCGTTTGGCTTAGTCACTTGATTGATTTGCTGCTTTCGTTTGGCTTGGTCACTTGATTGCATGATAACCATGAAAAGATCCTTTTATAAACTCTTATGCTGTATCTAACATCAATTTGTGTGTATTTAACCAATTTTAAGTATATAATATTTATATGCTGTAAAACTCGCGCATACTCCTAATATTTAGCGAGGCTTGAACCCTCCAAGGAGGTTGGTATCTACCGGCAACCCAGGTGCCACTGGGCTATTGACCGTTTGGTTATTTTACCATTTTTTCATGCTCGTTTTTAGTCCAAATGTAAATGTGGCAAGGAATCGGTCCACTCTGCTTTGATATTGTTTGTGCAGACTTATACTGATTATTTATACCATTTATTTGAATGTATTTTCAGTACAACTACGATGTGAGCGCATATGGATTTAGAGAGTTCTTCAAACGTCACAACATACGCTCATTCAATCACGAGTAAATTGGCGCATATTCTGGGAATTTTGCACTACAATACTTTGGGTAATCATACTCTTATGTCGAGTTGAGAAATGAAACGAGCCGCTCCCTGGACTCAGATTCTGGTTTCTTGGCCAGCGGGCTTGTCATTAGGGGTGTCAAATTCGTACCAGTAAACCAACCAACATGGATGACAACTGTACCAATTAAGCTGGTATCAAGTAAAGTTGGCTGGTACAAGATATAAGATTTCTCATATCAGTTATTATATTATATTTGGTTTTTTATACCAAAATGAATTTGAAATCCGAATCTTTTTGAATATATTATATTTAGTTTAGGACAAATTATGGTTATTTATAACAAATAAATTTTTAAAAAGCTAAATCCTCAAGAGATTGAGCAACACATAATTTTATGGTCCATGTGAAACATGAGTACCCAATTAATTATATTATTTTTATTTAAAAAAACCCTGATTCCATCCATTTGAATAAGTTAAAAGGTCAAATTAATCTAAATTATGGGAAGGATAAAGATCAACATAATTAAATATTATAATCCAAATTTTAATGTCTTTGTAAATAATTGTTTGATTGGACTTGTGGTTAATTCTTTCTCTTTCATATAATTGGTGTGTATAAGTTATTTATATTATGTATGAAATGTTGTATCTTGATGTATATTACTTAAAATTCAACGATTACATGTAAATTATGTATAGATATAACTTATTAAAGATTCATATTTGAATTCGTGTAACTAACTGCGGATAAACATAATCCCATAGAAGATAAATATCTCATTTTAAAATATAAAAAATCTAAAATGTAATTAGGATAATTATTGAGTTCTAACAAAATAATTAACTATTATCTTCATAAGAAAATTATATTACTGAACCAAATATAAATTACTTCATTATTGAATTTAAATTAAATTATAATTAAAAAAATTGAATTAAAAAATTACACAAAAATGAGAAATTTTAAATAATTAATTTGATACTAATATCGATATAATTTTCTCAAAATTTTGTAATATCTTCAAATATATATTCGCTTTTTCAAAATCACATAAGTCCATATTATAACATCGATTGAGATAAAAAAATAAAATAAAATATTAAAATCAAGATAATCTCGTTGCATTGCGCGAATACCCTTCTAGTCTTACTAGATGAGTGTGAGATGACATGAGCCATGAATCTTACTGGTAAGAGGCGTAGCAAAGATCAAAAATCTTATACGGTGAGGGAGAAAGAAAACTATTAACACTTATCAACAATTCATTTTGATTGTCGAAAATGTTACCCAATAAGGTAAGTAAGGATGCCACTAACATATACCTAATAAGCGTTTGATAAACAATCTCTTATCTTCAACTTTGTTTGGTCAGTGGGTGGCTCACAAGATTTGTACAGACCCGTAAGAATGGTGTGAACTTTTCTGTTCTATTTTATCTACTTAAAATTGTAACAAGTTCGATAATAAACGAGTTTTAACGAACATAATAACATGTATAATTTTGATATTTTGTTCAACGGATAGACGTACTCTAATGACTTTAAACAAACGTTGATTTGTCAAATCAATCGTGTCATTTCTTTTATGTGGAAAATAAGACATGTAATGATCTTGTAAGTAACTGTTAAGTTGTTATAATTATGGGTGATTATGTATTGGGTTGATCGGGTTGAAAACATTTGAACAACCCAACTCAATGCTTACGGTTTGAAAAATCTTAACCCAACTCAATCCAAACCAAAATGCAACCCAACCCAAATCGTACGGGTTGGTCGGATTGATATCTTGGTACAGTAAAATATTATTCCAATCATGAATATGTTATTTCTCTACTGATAATTTATTTTTTATCATCAACCATTTGATACAACTTATTCATACTTCTTATGTATACCACATTCAGTTAATTTTCTCAATTTACATATATATGTTCACAGTTACTGAACATATATACGAATGAGTCATATAGAGATGTGAATAGATTGAAAATATGTGTATATGAAGAGCGTACGCCATAATGTAATCGTCTGTGTATATATTAATAGAAATTCAACAATCATATTAAATCTAAGGAATAAAATGATATCGGGTTCATCGGGTGGGGTTGAGTTCAAATAATAGCAACCCAATATCAACCAAATTTTTACAACTCGATTAGACATCAAGTTGAGTTATTTCGCGTTGAATTGATCGATTAATCGGGTTGGTCAGGTTTTTGAGCAGACCTAATTATAATAATATCTTGTTAAGGAATTACCTTGGTTTTGTCGGCTACTATTTTCCGGACTTTCTAAAGAAGTTGAATGCAACATTTTCAATAAAAAATAGAAATTTTTGTAGAATATTATTCAACAATACAATAATACCAAAATGCTAATCTTGTAAATCAGACTCATTTCTTCTAAACGACTGTAAATCGATCTCACTTCTTCGATTAAACGATTGTAAATCTGATTCTCTTCGATTAAACGATATCTCTCTAATCGTAGCCAAGATCGGCTTCCACGACAACGATTTCGTTGAGTTTCTCATATTATTCTTCTCACCGTTAGAGCACCCGAGTGAGATCTGGGTTGAAGGGGCTGGCTTGGGCTTGGGCCTGGGCCTGTGGGTTTTGGCTACGTTGGTTAGCTTCTTTGCGAGATTGATCAAGTCGCCCGGAGCTTCGTTGAACCGGAGGATAGAAAACGGTAGTACGAAGTAGATTCTGCCTGGTTCAAGCTGTGTGTCGAGCTTGAGTGGTACCAAAACGTTTTGAATAAGTTGGACTGGAGTAGACATGAAGTGTTTTGGAAGATTACTGATTACCTGGTTAACTGTTGTCGGACTTTCGTAGACCTCCAGGACACCATCCAAATGAACCACTCGGATGGTCTTCAGCGTTCTTTTGGTTGATGTTCGGCAAGAACAACACGCACCCATCGGTTTAAACACGTCTGTCTACGACACGGACAACCGGCTCATACGATGCTTGGACCCTTATCGAATGGTCCGGTATCTTTGGGCTTCTCTCCCTCCCTCCCTCAAAAACAAAAAACTTTCTATTTATAACTTATGAGGTCATCAATAAGACTTGGTGTGTTAGTAGTGTAGCAATCGGTCAACCACTATATAGAACGTAATCTGAACGCCAAATACAATTTTCATTTAAAAAGTAATTAAATTAAAATTTAATATTTAAACAAAATAAAAATTACAATTAATCATACTAGAAAGGTACTCGTGCAATGCAGCGAAATAAATTTCTATTTTAATGTTTGGTTTTTATTCTGTCACTATCCATATAATACAATTTTATGTGGTTTTGAGAATGTGATAACATTTTTATTTTTGAATGAAATATAAATTTAAAAAATCGATATTAGTATCAAATAAACTATTTAATAGTTATTGTTTTTTTGTGTAACTTCTTTGATTCAGTTTTTTATTATAATTTAATTTAGATTTAATAACAAAGTATTTTATTTTTGGTTTATTAATATAATTTTTGTGAAAATAATAATTAAACATTCTGTTATAACACAATAATTATCTTAATTATATTTTAATTTTTTATATTAAAATAGATGTTTATCCTGTATTTTATTATGTTTATGTGCAGTTAGTTACACTAATTTAGAAATAGAGCTTTAATAAGTTGTACTTACGCAAAATTACTTGTAATCTTGAATTTCAAGTAATATGCATCAATAAACAGTATTTCATGCATAAAAAATAGTTGTTAAGAGTTTTTGTTAAATGCTTTATAATATAGCATAGATTCATCTATAAATGAAGAGTTAAATATGATAAATTATTTTGATTTTTTATATTAGAAAATGGATCAAAAGGTTGGAGAAGGTTAATTACTCATTTTTAAAACCAACGTTCTTAAGGTCAAAGAATCGGCAAAAAAAGGGTGGTGATGAGGAATTTCCAGAACCCGTACAATATTCGTTCATTATTTTTAAGGCCATAAGTTATTAATGCTTAGAGGCTCTTTAACAAGTGTTTATTGAGAAAGAACTTATTGGGTGTCGGTTACTTTACGGGTTATTGTGATAAAGATAAGAATATTAATCTGTAATAAGCATACAAGGATCGATAATCTTACCCGGTAAATAAGGTAAAATATTTTTACCTAGTAACAATTTATTGGGTAAAATACAATTACCAACAGTTCATTTTAATGTCCCCGAATGTTATTTAGATAGTATATAAAGTTTACGAATCGAGTCCCTTAAACGAAATATCATCATTGGTTCATTTTTACTAGGGATTAGATCCCGTGTTCCAACTCCGTTAACCCAACTCTGTCAAGTGTGTCCCTCACAATCACATGTCTCTCCTATAAGGGCATTGTTGTCATTTTGCCAATTCTAACAATAGAAAATATTTATCAATAATAAAACAAAAAACAAGAAGCACCATCTACGCATGCACAGTTACAAGCAAAAAGAATTTTTTTTAATAAAGGTGATGTCTGATTGTTTTGAGCTTGTATTTAAAGATGTGTTTGGTGTCCAAATAAGACAGGGCAGTAGAGGATAGAACATGATAGGACATGATAGAACAACTGTTCAACGTTTGGTAAGATAAAACTAGACAGAACAAAACAAGTAAAATAACCAATTTACCCCCGATGAGTTATTTATTTTAATTAATTTATTAAATTATAATAGAATAATTATTTTTTTATAACAAAATATATCAATTGAGATTTTCATCAAAACAATTAAAATGACATCAAATAAAAAGTTTATGTAGTTTCAAATTTTTGTTTTTATCTCTTTTCTACATTATTTTTTATTATTAATATATAATAAATTACATAAATTAATTAAAATATAGAAACGCATAAAAATAATATTTTGAGAAAAGTAAAATGAAAGTTTAAGAAACATAAAATTCGATAAATAAAATTTAAAGAATGAATAAAATATAAAAAAACGACCTATTTGATGTTTTAGAAGAGAATTAAGTTTTATTTTGAGGTTATATTGGTAAAATATAAGTTGGTTCCACCCTGTTCCATGGGGTAGGGGTGGAACAGGCCTGTTTCACTTTGTTCCACTGTGTTCCTGCCTATTCCACATGAAAGTCATGCCAAACATGGGACAGAGATCTATGTCCTGTTCTGTCATGTCCAGTGTATCAAACTCACCCTAAAGGTCAAAAGTGTTTGGAGGTCCCAGATTCAAATCCAAGAAGGAATAAAAATCTTATTGTGGCCACCAAGGTTCAAATGCGGTGACTCCGGCAGGGCCGGCCCTGGCCAAGTGCAGCCCGTGCGGCCGCACAGGGCATCAAAGCCAAAGGGCATCAAGTTGTCGTTTATTACTAGTTTTAGGTATAATAATTTGGAATTGGACGGCTTAACTTTAAGTATAAAAAACAAGGGCAAGGCCTAGTAATGATAAATACTTAATGCACATCGTTGGAAAAAGTTGGAAAGTTGGAAAATTTCTTGTTTGTATAAAGTTGTCTGTATGAATTAATATGTTTGTATAAGTTGGAAAAGTTTTTGCTTATGAGAGTTTATCTGCATATGTAAGGAGCATTTTTTTAGTTGGAAAGGACATGTTTTGAAAAAAAAAACTTTGGCTTTCTATATAAAGCTCATAGAAGTTTACTGGATAAGTCATTTTCTATATCACTAAGCCACTACGAAACAATCATGCATAGTTGACCGAATAAGCTGTTAATTTCATTAAACTTATTAAGCTGCTAACAGATAAACCCTTAGTCTTTAGTCGTTAAACCTGTAACGTTTGAATTTTACTTTTTACTTACTATGATAGTAATTTAGATGTAATTTACTGTTTTAGTTAAAAACTAATTATAGTGTTCCTTGTCTTTTAGGTCCTATATATTGAAATAAAGTTTCTATTTTGTTAATTTCAATTTGGAAAACGGAAAACTGAAAAAGAAGGAAACACAATCTTAATCCATTATTTATCCTTTTATCGTTTTATATTATGTATTCGGGGTTTTGGTTTTTATGTCCCCCCTATTGAATTTTTTTATTATAATTAATAAAAATCAACATAGCGATGAGATACTTAACTTGAATAGGTTCTAAACTCTTTAAAAAAATAGACTTAGGGGCATTTTTAATTATTTTCGCACGGGGCATCAAAAATCTTAGGACCAGCCCTGGACTCCGGGCTACCTACAAAGCAGGTGGGCATACTATAATTAATTAACTCGTATAGCAGGTTGGATGTACAAGTTAATAAAAAAGGAAAAAAAAAAAGATTAAAACCCTAGATTTGAATCGTTTTTTTGTTTTTAATTTCATCAATGGAGGTCCGTATAATTTGTTTCTGAAACATTAAACCTAAGCTTTTTCAAAATACTTTTATATAAAGGGTCGTTTACTAAACGCTTACTCGGTAAGTACTTACTGGGTAATTTTCCTCACCGAATGAACATGACAAGGGACAAGAATCTTACCCGGTAAGAATGAGGATAAAGATGGAAAGTCTTACCCAGTAAGTGAAGGTGACGACTCTTACCCGAATAAACGCTTACCAGGAAAATTGTTGCATGGAATACGTTTTGATGTACTACAACCTTACCTAGTAAAATAAATTATAGTGTTGACTCCTAACAGTAACATTTACCGGGTAAGTATTTAGGTAAACAGCCCCTAAGAGTACTTATTAATGGATGGAGTTGGAGATAAGGACTTAATTCGTAACAAAATAGAAACCACAATGTAAAACCAAAAAATTTATATAACTTGAGGGACAAAATTTGTAATTAAGTGAAAGAGAGAGAAGTATGAGATGTTTTGCCAGCAAAAAAAGCCGGCACGTTGACGGGAGTCTTGGTAAACACCTTTGTTTTCTTCTCAAAACCTACCACGGTTTTGTACTTTTATTTGGAAAGCGTATATTTTGGTTTATTTTATTTATTTAAAAATTTACATCATTTTTTTTATTTTTTATTCATAAAGTGTTTTTTGTTTTAATCATATAATTGGGAACAAATTATAATTACGGATTGGTTCTTGTGGTTTCTTGTTTATTATTAAAACAGGTGTCACGATATTTATTTATTATAGTATGTGACACTTCAAATTTTTAATGACGGTATTTCTACCGAAAATATTGTCATATACCCGTTTCATGACATATGGATATACCGTATACGTATAATTATGATATCCAAGACCAAAAGCGGGTATTAGGACTGCGTATATTAACTATTTCATTTATCAAATACTTACTCGAGTAAGCGTTTACCAAGTCACATTATCTCATCGGATTAATATAGTATAAGGACCAAGAATCTTACTCGGTAAAAAAGAGACAATGACCAAGAGTCTTACCCGGTAAGTAAGACAACGATTCTTATCATGGTAAGCGCTTACTGGGTAAATTGTTGCATACGGTGTCGTTTTAGTGAACCAAAATCTTACTCGATAAGTAAATAATAGTGTTAAACTTTACTAGTAAACACTTACCGGGTATGTGTTTGGTAAACGGCTCCTAAGATAAAATATTTGAGAATTTGTTTAAGACCTGCTCACACCCCGACAAGAGGTTTCTAACCTTCGTTACATCGATTCCACTGTACCCGAAGTTTAGAGGCAAATGGTCACAGTTTCGTTCTTATGGACGTCGAAAACTCCCACTAATTGACTCTTTAAACTATTTAACACCAATGAACAACGCGTTCGAGATTAAAACCAGAAGGTTTACCTTAAATTGTTAACTGAGCACCAAAGAGATTCGACCACCTCTACTTCATGTGATGCTCTTACTATATTTAGGGTTTCTTTTTCTCTTTCTTTTGCAAAGGTCACGGGTTTTAACAAAAATAAATAACCCACTAGGGCTGTAAACGAACCGAACGTTTAGCGAACCATTCGGCGGGTATTTCGCTTATGTTTGTTTATTTAATAAATGAACGGACATGAACAATTTTTTTTTGTGCGTTATTAAACGAACGAACATGAACAAAAGTACCGTTCATTCATTTATGTTCGTGAACGTTCGTTGATTTACCGTTTGTTTATATCCGTCCGTTCGCTTATATATTAAAATTAATAT